AGGGAAATGGTATCGTCACGTACACGTGCAGGACCTCAAGCCGGCCCCACACCCCAGGCCCGACGCTACCGACCAATCAGACGTAACCGATAGCGACAGCGAATAAGCATCACCAAATACCGACCAGGCGCGGGGGGGAAGCAACCCCCACGCAACCCAAACAGGGGTTTAAAGGCAACGAGCACGCCACTCAGAACAGAAAGTCCGCATCAGCAATGGAAGCTGAACTGGACGCTATCCATCCCGCCGATATCACCGGAGACCAAGAATTTGAAGAAGTATGGGAACGGCTTCTCCGGACACCACCTCGCCGGCCGACTAACAAGAGGCGACCACACATCCGACCGGTTACTTGGGGACTCGGCAAACAAAAAACCGAGCAGCCAGCTGCAACAGTCAAGGACACGCAACCAAACATGGTGCAAATCCGCGTACACGAGCTGTTTGGCAGCTTATCAGACATAGAGGACGACGAAAGACCCGGAGGGATCCCACAACAAACCGATGGTAACAACAACCAGACAACCAAAGTTAGGGGGACAGTCCCCATCACAGCAACGCCACCTCCGCCACTGGAACCACAACGCCTAGAAGCAGGACCACCAGAGTCAGAGACACCAATCTACGGCCCAGCCCCTCCGCCCCCGGTACTCGTAACACTAGACGAGGATACCACAGTAGAGGTACCATACTTCGCGGCACACATCTCACGCAAGTATAAGGCCCGGGTGGGAAACCGCCGCTTCGTGCTCCGATTCGACCGCTCCGGAAACTGCGTCTTCCGACGGAAGAAGGTGTAGAAATGCCCAAATTCGGTACTACGAACGACCGGGGAGATGTAACGAAACACATTTCGCTCTTACGTGCGCGAACCGGCCTCCCATCGCTCGGGCATCTCCGGCGGGTAACCGAGCGATAACGGAAATCCAACCCCACCACGCCATCGGAGGGGGAGAGTCTACACTCGCGACCGACACGTGATCGGCGGGGTATATAAGCCGGCCGCGAGCATTCCGAAGATAGAACAGCCACAGGTCCCGTCCGCAACCGACCGCCCAGATCTCGGGATCTCTCGGATCTCGCCGGCCGCTGCGAACTTGATAGGCTACTGGGATACGGGTACTCTCGATCCCTCCGCATCGCAAAGGACTCGGGCACTCTCGGTCCTTCCGCTCCGCGCTACGGACTTGGGTACTCTCGGTCCGAGCCCCCGACTCGCCGCGGACACGGGCACTCCCGGTCCACGCGGGTTCTGCACACGCGACACCGCCCGCCCACGTGGCCTGCGCCACACGCCCGCCGCGCGTTCCTAAAACACCCTCGGCGCCGCTTGCGCCCGAAGCACTGCGAGCTACGCATACTTGCGGACCTACCACATACACGGATCCGCGCACTCTCACTGTACATAGTTTTTGTTTTTATTTCAAATATACATATTCATTTATACACCAATTACGGCATTCACGCTTACTCGTCTCCCCGACCCCTGGCTTCTCGACGAGCTCTTCCGGCGGAACGGAACACCGTTACAAACAAATGGGCCGTTCTACGACACGTACGAGCGTTTCTGCAAGAGCTACTTATACGGATACGAATATTTCGAGTCGAATCTCACCACGACATTTCTACATAACGATCCGTTCGTGATCATCAATTGCTCTCGTCAGAACGATTCAATCAAGAACGCAATTGTGGACGTGAGACTGGAATTTGAGACCAAGGAGAACATGCCGATGAACATCATCGCGTATTATCTTATCATATATGATCGCGTAGTCCAATACAACCCGTTGACCAACGTTGTGCGCAAAATCACCTAAGTGCATCTCCTTCCTCCCATCAATACAGTTTAAGACGATATAAAAAACCCCAGATAACGACAGCGAATGACCATCGCCAAATACCGGCACGTAACGATTTCAGGGGCGGGAGACAACCCCCACACGACCAGAACAATGGTATAAAGGCACAATCCATTTGCTTCCTTCAGAACAGAAAGTCCGCATCAGCAATGGAAGCTGAACTGGACGCTATCCATCCCGCCGATATCACCGGAGACCAGTTAGAGGAATTGTGGGACCTACAAACATCGGTGCACCGAGAACCACCGACCGCGTTGCCACCCGCGGCACACGTCAGGCTGGACCTATGGGCTCCGGCAGCCAGAAGCATAGCCGCAACCTCGCCGACGCCAGCGACCCACGCCGAACGCCGAGAGACCGCCACGGTTAAACAAGCTTGCACCAAACTCGTACCTCGGGTAGGTACGAGCATCCAACGTTCAGATCGCAGCAATGCCCGGAAGAGACAGATGTTGATGGAAGCGCCACCACCAGTACCTCGACGATTGCCAAAAGCCGGCCCCACATCCGACCAGTTACCTGGGGGCTCGGCAACCAGCAGATCAAGCAACCAGTAGCCACAGTAACAGGGGCTCCGCAACCAAACGTGGCACAGATCCGCCTGCACGAACAGTTTGGTAATCTATCAGACATTGACGAGGGATCTTCAGGGACCTCACAAGGAATCGACGGCAACAACAACCGGATCACCAAAGATACCGTAGCAGTCTCTACCGTAGCAGCATCACCACCGCCACCGGAACCACAACGAGAGGCCGAGCGCCTGGAAGCAGAATCACCGGAGCCAGAAGCACCGATCTACGGCCCAGTCCTCCCCCCCCCACTCCCTGTGCGTGTAACACTAGACGAGGAAACCACGGTCGAAGTGCCATACTTCGCGGCACACATATCACGCAAGTATAAGGCCCAGGTGGGAAACCGTCGTTTCGTGCTCCGTTTCGACCGCTCCGGAAACTGCGTCTTTTGGCGGGAGAAGGTGTAGAAGTGTCCAAATTCGGCACTAGAACCGGAAAGATGTAACGAAACGCACAACCGCAATTACGTGCACGAACCTACCTCCTTATCGCTCGGGTACTTCCAGCGGGTACCCGAACGAAGGGCGACACCGCAGCTCCTATTACGCATTATCAGAGGTGGGAGAACGCCGAAGAAACCTCAACATGCGACAGTCGACGCTTATTCCCGACCGCCCAGCCCAGATACATATATGTCTAGAATGAAAACCCACGTTGAAAACGACTAAAAGTGACTTATTATTGTAAGAGAGCGCCTGTGAATCTTTCTATGTCATTTTGTTTTTGTTCGCCATTAACAGACGGCGCTTCAGTTCCGTTTCGAACACCACCGTATCTCGGGTTGAGCTTGGCGTCTCTCATTTTAAAAACCGATAATTCGTCAAATGTCTCGTGCCGGCATGCGACTGGCTTTCCGGGCCAAGGCAATGCGTTATCGCCGCACGGAGACATGGTCTCCTTGTACATCGTCGGGATCACTTGTATCCGCGTACGTGCAATAAAAGACATATATCTCAAAAGTGGCTTCACACTCTCTTTCGTATTTTCCCCAAGTATATCTTTGGTTTGTCCTCTCCGCAATATTCAGTTTCCTGACATGTACCTACTTCAAGACGGTTATTCAAATTTCTAGTTTCCCCGTCTTACATTATTATTTTGTGTTCTACCTAGAACGTTCGCGCGCGTATATAATTTCAATATGGCATCCAGCCCCAGCTCTTGTCACGTGATCTATTTTAGTTCGCTATTTCCGGAGTCTTAACCATGGTGGCGCTAATAATTGGTCTCCTCTAGAGTCCCTAGAAGGGAAAGTCTGGCCATGTCACAAAATGACGTCTGTAAATGTGGCTCATGTACACACGCACACACACACATCATACAACACATTTATAGTTTCTAGTGGATCATGTACTATATATTCAATTTTTATGTTATGTGATTGGTGACGCTATTTTGAGGGAACATGGGATTGACCAATGAGAGCAATGACGGTGGATGGCCAGACTCTCCCTTCTAGGGACTCTAGTCTCCTCTTTTTCCAAATGGGAGTTTGTACCCCCTGGAGCACACCTACGGACTCGGGCATTCTCGGTCCTCCCCCCCCCCGAACAATCACGGAATCGAGGTCTTTTGGGCCACGCGTTTGTATCAGCGATGTGTACCTGCGCATGCGCGGGTGACACCGATACGCGCTATTGACGTAGGAATATATGGACGTAGGAATGTATAAACTGGTTAGAAAGGCGAGGGGGATAGTGATATTCGACATAAGGGGATCACGTGGGATCACGTGGGATCAAACCTCTGACTTCGTCGGTACATTTCGGTTACGTTCAGTTGGAACCGGAAGCTCCGTTGGAACCAGCTCCATCGGTCGCTACTGAGGTCGAGATAACGGACCTACAATGAAAGATCAAATATCAGAGAGAAGCACTGAGGAGGAGATTTACGGAAAAGCGCAGTGCGCTGTGGACATGCTCAGTGCTTTTATCTCGGAGGAGGCCCGAAAGGAGGAAGAAAACACCGGTATGCAAGAAGGCCAGCAACCAAGTGATCGGGCCAGTCCAATTGTGGACAACGAATTACGAGATTATCGTCGTATCTTATTTTAAGATTTTATTTTCGAAGTATTTTGATACTAGTCGGGTCGCTAGTCGTTAATTATTTTATTTTTATTCTTATGCGCGAAATTATATTGTGCGTTCAATGTTTTGAGGTTAATTGCGGAAACCATAGATATGTTGTTTATTTTAAGAATACACTATGTTAGATCCTAGCGTAACCCACTGTTATGGTTATTATTTTATGCAACGTTGTGGACAAAACGAGAACCACATGTACGGCACGAATTGTACGCAATCAAAAGAAGCGTGAGATCAATAAATGTAATGTTTTAGTTTATGTTATAACCAAATGTAAAGACCCGTTTGGGCACGTGATATTATATTTTATAAAATGTTATATTCTAGTTTGAAGGAATGATTGAAGTATGCATGAATGTCGAATAAATATCATTAATACTTACGTGAGAAGAATTGTAATAACCCACAAATCCAGATTCGTTCCCTAAAACATAAAGAAAATCATTATTGAGGAAAAATAGATATTTTAGTTTCGTTACTTACCTCATTATAGCACGAACGTGGAGAGATCCTGAAAAGAAAAGAGAAATGATTATTATTATTATGATTTTGCCACAATTTATTTAATTTTGATACTTACCAAAAATTGATCCACAGTTCCAAGCGACACCTGCAAAAGAAAAGGAATTTTATTTAAAGTTATGACAATCAGGGTATAAAAGGCCCACAATGAAATATAAATTTAGTTACAAAGTAGACAAGCCACGATTCCTTCTAGAAGTTTCTAGAAGCTTCTAAAAGGAATTCACAAATCATAAAGGGAACGACTTTGAGATCCACCGCGTATCTTTCCTTCATAAATTGTGGAGGGAAAGGGAATACGCGAGAGTGGGAAGACGTTGACAAAGTGGGGAGGTATATAAGCCGTTCGCCCGGCAACAACAGGGTCTTTCCTCGCCGTCACTTAATCGGGAACGCCGTTGCGAGTCCCGAAGGAAAAGATAGTCCCGTACGCAAAGGAATATAACGCGTATCGTATTGATCGCGAGTGAACGCGAATTAAATAGTTTTTGCCAGAATCACGCATTGTGTAAATGCACGAGTTGCATAGCGTGTATTCTTCTTTGATCGACCTTATTCTCGGTGAATTCGTGAGTACGCGACGCGGATCGGCCGACGACGTTCTGCGTTCAGGGAAAACGGGTTCCCAAAGTATTCGTTGCGTTCTAAAAACGGTTGTCCGAATTGACCGACGACTTTTCGTAATACCGTACGCATCGGAGACGCGACCGCGTTATCGCGTTGCGCGTAACCCAATTACGAGCGAGTGAGAATCCAGTGAATGTGTGAAGAGTGCGCATGTGAACATTTAACATTTATAATAAACAATATTAAACTGAAACAACGAGACATTAATAAGCGCATCCACACTATCTCCCGCTACGTACCTGCATGTGGTCGTATCACAATTATTTCCGGGGCGAGAACTTTTGAAGCAGCCTACGTGAACGAACTCCGAGCCGGAAATAGGACATCGGTGGTAGTTGCTGCTTTCCAGACCTTCTTCGTTAGAGGATAAACAAAGTGGCGACCGAGTACCTGAAAGGAAAGGTAATCGGATAAGACATTTACGATAATAATTCGGTGTTGCTAAAATTTGAAAGAGTTTCATTAACTGTTATTGGCGGAACCAAGGACTTTGCGGGCGTAGTGTAATACACGCTGACGATAAGGCTCTTCGAGGAAGAGGTCCGATACTATTGAACGTAAACCCAGAAGTAGAAATTGATATAATACGGTCATAATAAATTCACACGGTAAAGTCCGGTTACACAGTAATATTCGACGCGTGCAGAGAGATAAGACGCTTTCACAAAACAGTGACAGAACACTATTATACCGGACACTTCCGAGCTACGCTCACGGAATTAGCCGAAGTCAGCACGGAATCAGCCGACATCAGTGTAGTATTCTTACGCCTATGGGCCTGAGCAGAAAGATTGTCGTTACTGTTTCCGACAAATGTCGTAGACGTAAATCGTAGTCGTAGGTCAACGCACAAGGAATTGTCGTTAACGTAGCCTTGCCGACTACGACGCGTAATCGGCATAAGGTTACGTTAACGACAATTCCTTGTGCGTTGACCTACGACATCTGTCGGAAGCAGTAACGACAAATCTTTCTGCTCAGGCCCTATGGTACTACCCTCTTACTGCTATTATCACTTTCCCCTTGCAAAAAACTCCATGTACTTAGGTCTTAAGTCCATGACCAAGGTGTAGAGGAGCCAGTTAAGAATGCGTAAGCACATAAAAAGAAACAGGAAACGAGTCGCCCATCTGCATTCTTGTTCAATTGCGCATGCAAGAAAAAGATAAAAGATGGACCCCTCGTTCTACCATTTTCTTTCTCTTTCTATCAATTCACATTTTCACTCAAAGAGGCCGCTATGCCTTTTCTACTCTATGTATATAATCTATTTGTCCATGACGCACTCAATAGCAGACGACGGGGTTACACATAATAAGACGCGCGTATACGGCCCGCGCTGCCGGCCACAAACCACCGCGAACCAAGACGCGCTCGCACAAGCGCAGACACTGTCCGAAATCCGAGCGTTCCGAGACGCGCTCATGCCGTTGCGCACACGCCGTCCACGGCACCAACATACTTATAAAAATGGCTTTCGCCCCCGCGAGGGACCATATAGCCTGATAAAAACTTGATAAGTGAGTACTAATGCGGAAGCAGAGAACTATTAGTCGAATGATGCAATACTAAAGCGTGATGATAGAATATTAAAGAAGCAGAACATTCGGCCACAGACGTCCACCTCAATCCGCGGCTCACACACGAATCCGGCACCAACATACATAAGGTGAATGTCCCAATTAGTGACAAAGTTAACTTTGTCGTGACAATTAATTAATAAATTATCGATATATATGTCACAATAAGTACATGAAATAAATGTTATTTTGAAAAATTTGGATATTTAAAATTCTGAAAAAATTAAATTCTTTTACTCTTCTAAAAATTCTTAATTTATTTATTATTTCTTTATAAACATTGTTTTTGTACTATTTAGTGACACATGAATTTGAAATTGTCCCAATTTGTGACACATGCTTGTGTCCATGTCACTGATAGATACGCATATAAAAGTACTTCAATGATACGCTGTACATTGTACAAGATAAGAGCGTTTCTACTGACACATCGAAAAATAATATATAATCTTTGGAATATCACAAATTGATAATAAGTGTCTAATTAATACATATTTGTTCTTTTCTTTAAGTTCTCCTTCGCCCAGTGAGAAACAATTTGTCGACCCAACGTCGATTCGACGTCGAAAAGTGGGTTCGAAATGAGATCGAAATTGACATCGACATCGATGTCTTTTTGACTCCCACGTCGACCTCCTGTCGATTCAAACTGCGAAATCGATTTGACATTGATCATAAATCAAAATCCTGCCCAAGGAGAACAGAAAGATCAAAATGACATAAAAATAAGATCAAATTTTAGTTTGTCAAAATAATGTCAAATTGCATAAAT